AGATCCTGGTAGGATCCTATTAAGATCCTGGCAAGATCCTGGTAGGATCCTATTAAGATCCTGGCAAGATCCTGGTAGGATCCTATTAAGATCCTGGCAAGATCCTGGTAGGATCCTATTAAGATCCTGGCAAGATCCTGGTAGGATCCTATTAAGATCCTGGCAAGATCCTGGTAGGATCCTATTAAGATCCTGGCAAGATCCTGGTAGGATCCTATTAAGATCCTGGCAAGATCCTGGTAGGATCCTATTAAGATCCTGGCAAGATCCTGGTAGGATCCTATTAAGATCCTGGCAAGATCCTGGTAGGATCCTATTAAGATCCTGGCAAGATCCTGGTAGGATCCTATTAAGATCCTGGCAAGATCCTGGTAGGATCCTATTAAGATCCTGGCAAGATCCTGGTAGGATCCTATTAAGATCCTGGCAAGATCCTGGTAGGATCCTGGCAAGATCCTGGCAGGATCCTATTAAGATCCTGGTAAGATCCTATTAAGATCCTGTCAAGATCCTGGTAAGATCCTATTAAGACCCTGGTAGGATCTTAATGCTGAGCAGGTAACCAATCTCCAATTTCCAGGTCTGTTCCTTTGTCGCTTGATCGTCATGAATAAATCTGTGTTCTTGCACACACATTATGTCTTGGTTTGTGGCCCAGCTGAGGCGATCAATTCAGGTATTTTTACGTCATTCCGGAGTGTCTGTACGTTAAGTGTACTTCACGACACGGTGAAGCAAGTGGATGATTTCAAATACCTGGGCAGCTACATCGCTTCAAACGAACACGACGTGAACATCAGATTGGGAAAAGCATGGGGAGCACTAAATGAAATGGACAAAATATGGAAATCCGACCTTCCCGACACACTGATAATCTGTCCTTATATACGGATCCATCACATGGACCCTGACATCAAAACTTGAAAATAAGATAGATGGTGCCTATACGGCCTTGTAAATCAGATACAACACTGTGTTACAACACTGGTTTTGTATATGATTTACAACACTTATCAGAAAGATAAATACTTCATTTATAGAATCGAAAATAGCCCAATTATTATGAGAACCAGCAATTTTCAATTTGCGAACAGTCCGGGGGAAAACATATCATGGTGTAATATCAGTTGTAAGACATCAAAACAGCACTAAAACCAGAATGGAATGAATATGTGTATGTTTTTGTCTTCTCTCTAGCTAATTGTGAAAATAATGACGGACGGACGAACTGACTTACAAAGGGTAGCATAGTCCTCCATCGCGTGACGGACGAAGGATAYAAAAATGAGCTGAAAGAACAAGGAATATCGTGAGAAGATTACATGCTTCATGCGGCGATGAGATTGACCTCACCGGATGACAAACACCATTTCAGTTGTCTTCAATATACCCCTTGTTTCTTGAGTGTATTTATGTTCAAACCGATAATTCCCGCCTTTGCTACTATGCATTTACAAAGATAAGTGCCTTCAAAAATCAAAACTTCAGTTTTTTGTAATATAGTTGTGTTTTTTTTTCTGACAAAACCTGGCTTCATTTCCAGACCTACCGCGGTGTTTAATTTGAACATAAAACGATGTCAAATTAAAAAAAAACTACTAAAAAGAGCTTTTGCGAAAAATAAGGAAAATTAAAGTAAAAAACTCGAATAAACTAAAAAGTAAAGAACTTAAAACGAGATAGAGGAAGGTACACAACACATTTGATTGTTTTTAATTTCCCGGTAAACATATTTTATTGTGTCAATATTTTGTCAATATTGGGTCTCAGTCTGTTCTTTTATTTATTCTATAAAATTCAAAGTTTTATTTTATTCGGTTCGCCATTGCTTTCAGGTTGAATTGTAATATTATCTAGTTTTTTTCCCGATGATAATCGTTTGTCGGTCAATTTGAAGTAAACAGTTTCATTAAAAATATTGCATCGCATGGATCTATGTTTGARACTTTTTATTAAGTTTATTATCGCTCCAAATTATCACGCGATATGACATATTTGCTTTAGTTTCTATGGCAACTAATAGGTTCGTATTGAATSTCTGTTATACGTGTCAGGATTCCTWAATRTCTAAATATAGAGTTGCCCTTMATATAGGGGTGCCCGACATATAGAGGTGCTCGTAAAACAGAGGTATTGATAAAAGACTTGTCCGCATTATAGATTCATGTCCATAAAATAGCAATGTCACTTTACATAGAGCTGTCTATTAGTCATAGAGGTACTCGCAATAAGTATCTGTAATATATATCTGTCCGTAATAAAGAGGTGCCCGAAATATGGAGGTACTCGCAATATAGAAGTGTCTGTAATATAGTACTATGCCTGTTATATAGGTGWTCGTAATATAGAGGTGTCCGAATTATGGAGATGTTCGTAATATGGAAGTGTTTACAATATAAGTGATATAACATGACTAACAATTTGAAATAAATATTGCTATTGTTTCATTTTCACTTGGTTTGAAACCACATTTTATAATGTACTTCCCATTCTTAAAGTTTCACACTGTGAAAAATCTTTAACTTGTAGTGTATGTAGAAGTGTACGAAATTTTGTGTGTTTTGTTAAAAAAAACATTACTTCTTTTAGTTCCRAAGGGTGTAAAGACCAACTATATTAGTTTATTCAAATTTTTCTATTGAAATTGTAAAATATAAATATGGCAGTATCAGATAAAACTAACAAAGCAACTTTGTAATTACTTGAATCAATATCAAAACTGCAAACCACTGCAATAAACTTTAATCTAAGATAAATAATAAACGTTTTTTATTGACCTGCAAAAAATATTTCTGGAGATACTGAAGTTGTTAYTTGTTTTGTATAAAAGCTTGTTTTTCAGTATAAACCCTTTCTCAAGATACCATTTTGAAAGAAAACAATTTTCTCATTTCCAATCAATTTCATTCTCTTCGCTTTAAAAACCAATTTTAAAGTTTAAGAATATTATTCATCTTTGAAATGCAACTTTTTTTAATTAATCCCGGAGCAAAGTTATTAAAACAACCGTAAAGTAAATAAGAGTTTGGAAACAATACAATATTCGTAAATTGAATATACACACCACTTTCAATTGTTGTAGTCATAGATTTATTTAAGGTTTACCTTACTTCCTGAAATTTTTCCACTTCTTTGAGTTTGTTTGTTCACTATTGAAGTTTTGTTTTGTATCTTAAAGTGTTAATTTTCATGTAAATTTTTAGTTCCCCTTTAAGAAAATGCGTTATTAGAATATTTTTTCATATCGTACAGAAAGTGATAAACATTTTTCGTTAATGATAAGAGTTTTTCAAAGAGATAGATAAGGCGGAACTTCAATGGAGACGATACAACTAATCTTGGCGATYTCTTATGGTTTGAAWGGCGATKTCAATATGGYTTCATTGGTAATTTTTCAGTTTTTCTGATTTTATCCAATAAAGAGGCCCCCAGAACATACCCCATGCACGTAAAATCACGTCTAAACTGTCGTATTCAACACAACTGGGAGCACCATGCGTGCACGACACGAATTATGTCATTTAAAGCAAGCCTGAAACACATACAACAGTTTTTCTTTGGACAGAGATCACTTTACAAGCGCCATAAACAACATTTCTTGCTTCGTGTGAATACAGCTGTTATAACGCGTCGGAGAATGATATTCGGTGTAAACGTTTCTCTAAAAACGTTTTTCTAAATTGTCAGTGCGTGGGACTAGCGCGCTTGGCGGGATAATARTAAGAAAACATTGTGTGATATGCAAGTTCAAATCTTTTGATGCGAATTCGTGCTGTAGGCATGGTAGATGGTTACGTAATGACGCACTGAAAACGTTTATTCGTCCGTTGAAGGTCTACKTATTGTTCTTTGGCCGCCGTTAGCTTGATGAACGTTGGCATGCGTCATTCGCCGCACGCTCGTTAGTTCAACCTCGGTGCTGCTCATGGCGCCATTGTGATTTCGAGACGGTTTACGGTAGAGATGTTTCAGTGCCATTTTCATTTCTCGATTGTAAGTTGTCAGTAGAATAGGATTCACGGCTGAGTTGATAAACATTAAAGTCAAGAACATACTCATGACGATCGGAGGAACGCCTGGCCCGATGTGGAATTTRTGAATCGTTAAAACAACAAAAAAAGGAAGCCAGCAAAACAGCCAAAAACCAATCAAAATCGAAACCATTCGACCTGCTTTTCGTTCTTTGTACGTGGAAATCCTCATTTTTGAGTTCATAGAGCGTTCACGTGTTTGTACTCCTTGGGCAGCATGYCTTTGTGAGTGCTCCATGGCGGCTATTTGCCTTGCTTGGCTCTTTGCAATACGATAGATGCGAATGTAAGAGAGCGAAATAATTATTCCCGGGATAACAAACCAAAAAACCCACTCCGCAGTCATGTAAGCGATTTCGTTGATCAAATGCTCTCCTGAGGGGGTTGTACTGAAGCAAACTACATCAACTGGACGCCACAATAATGGAGGAACTGCTAAGCAAAGAGCTGCGAGCCACAGAAGAAGCAAAATCAARGCTGAACGTCTCGGCGTTACGTATTGGCTATAGTGAAGAGGGTATATAATGGCGATGTATCTATTGATCGTCATTGCTGTAAGATTAAAAACTGAGGCCGCACCAAACAACACTCCACATAGAAGAATAAAATAACAGATTGAAAAGTGCGGTGGCTTGTAGTTCGGCACGAGTTTSCCGATAGCCTGATAGAGAATGTCCGTGGCTGCTAGACTGAGATCCGAGAAGGCCAAACTCGCAATGAACAGATTTCTTAATGCTCTCAGATTTCTGTTCTTATAAATCACGAAAATTATTATCCCGTTTCCAATAAAGGCCACTACAGCTAGAATGGTAATTAAAACTCCTTCCAGAATATCACCTAGTCTTTGCCCATCGCCGCTCGGCTCGTTGGTCGTATGGTTGGACAAATTGAATGTCATTTTTCTTGCTTTTTTCTCATCTTTCTTTGCGGAAGTGTTGTTGTGGTCGATACATACGGACAGATTCACCCGATTCCTGCGTTCTTCCTACCTATTTAATAGTTCCTCGCAACATTTGAAAGTCAAATACCGACCTTCATTAATCACAAATTGTAATTTAGGATGAAAGTCTGGATGCCCAAATAAAATTCAATGATCTCTGCGGGGTGGGGCCAACACWTGAAATGAGACAGCGAAACGATGTGTTTATTGCAATGGCCTTGTTGGGGGTTTATTGCAACAGTCGTAGTCAACAAACCAAACAAAAGCCTAAAAGTCAAAGCTTCTATGATGTCCCGTCGTGTTTCTCATTAACGTGTTTCATAATGACATAACAGAATGCAAGCCCGCGATTGGTCTATCGTTGAGCGAATACACCGAACGAGATCRAGAAAAACACACGTCCAGTTGCGCGTGGATTTAAATAYAGTGCAGCTGTCACAAAACTACKAGTTAAAGCGAAATTAACTTTCTACAAGACAAAAACAATCAAGAATCCTGGCTTCTACTSMGATTAACAAACACGTGGTTCGAAATTTCTCTTAAAAAGTTTCAGAAGGTTTCAGTTTAAGAGCATGTTATCTCTTTCTAAAGCAAAGATATGAATATTAACATTAAATTGAACAATACATTTTGTGAAGAACATCAACTACTATGACAAGTATATTAAATGATACATTTAGGGGTACTTTCCACAGATATTGAATGATCCCATAAGACCATTCGGTCGTCTAGTGCACTCTATAATCTCTGACAATAGCTATATTGAAATGAAAGTAATAATCCCAAAAAAATAATTTTAGCTCGCGAGGGATTTGTTTTGAAATGGTAAATATTCATATTCTAAACTGGTAATTTTCCCTTCTTATTAATATACAACTGTACTATAGTTATCAGTTCACGGGTAGTTCTTGTTCTTGTTAATATACAACTGTACTAGTTATCAGTTCACGGGTAGTTCTTGTTCTTGTTAATATACAACTGTACCAGTTATCAGTTCACTTGAAGATTACCGAGATAGACTCCAGGAAATGAAATTCATACCGAAAGTAAAAKTTAAGAATTTCATTGTTCGCGTCCGACAAAGAMTTTATCTTGTTATTTTCATGCAGGCATAGGTTTATAGACATGAGATAGCTGACTTGCTCGTCCTAAGATAGCTAACTATCTATACAAACCATGCTGGCGATGTTCCGGCTTTCACCGTACTTGATTGGCTTCTCAGTGATGCCTTTGCTGTGGTGGAAGGATGTTTGTTCAGCACGAATCCACGGAGACTTCATTTTTAACCATTCGGCGTCCAACCAGGTCTGGACATTAGAACTCTCTCGCTGTTTCCTCTGACTTTTTTKGGGTTTCCTGTAGTGGCACTTAAAMYAGTYGAACAGGAATTGCTTAAGTTCATTTTYAGTCGCATCGTGCAGTCCAAAACGCATTCATTAYTCTTCCTAGATCTAGSGACTCTCTATTTTGTCTTCGGCTCAGGGAAACCGAAGTTCGACGCCCGAATTTTGTACAGCATAAATGCCAGTTGTARACTGCGCACTTGTAATAGCYCCTAAAAGCCGTTATGTTTTCTTTGTATAAACTGTGAAAACACTTYTGCAAAATGAAAAGAAAAAAACGGCTTCGGAGACCTGTTTAAGTGGACATGGAAAAGTGGAAGCACTTCAACAACTCCCATCATGCAATGCTGYACAATATGGCTTCGCTGAACATCGTCTTTTTGAAACGATAGGATAMCCATTTAAAATACGTGTATAAAGTAGATATATGCTCATATAACCTCTAATTTTTCAATGCCAGTCGCAAACCCAATAAAATGCGAGAAAAAAGTAATGCTGATGAACTTAGCAGAGGGTCTCAATGGGGTGGTACGCATCA